ATTTTTGTCCTTTGGAAAACTAATTTAACACAATATCATTGCTTATTCCTGTGGATTCTTCTTTCTATACAGTATTTTAAAATGCCTGACATGTCTTACATACGTCAATGATTGCAACTTGAAGCAATGAACATAAAGAGTGTGTATGCACGTGTATCACATCGCTTGCATTTCCAAATGGACTATGACCTGGACTGTGATTATTTATGCATTGGTGAAAATTTGAGGTTGATTTGGGTTAGATTTTGTCTATGAGATTATGTTGGTGTTAGATTGTTACTAGATTTTGTTTTGAAGTTCCTTTGTTTTTTTTTTTTGTTTGTTTGCATGTTTTTTGTTTTTGTGTTAGTTAAGGGTTTCTATGTTTGAAATTAATGTGTAGTTACATGAAAATGGAAGAGCAGAAGAGAAATTGAGGATTTTGTGTCCTAGTTTGAGTTGAAAAGAATGGCAGGCACTATCTTATGGAGTTTAGTTCAACTATTTTGATTAGTGCTGGTCAAATTTTCAAATGTTGGAATTAAATATTTTAGTTTTAGTTTCATACTCTTGTTGATTTGTTTGGGCATCTAACAGAGATTCTGTGTTTTGAGCTGTATGTGAAAATCACCCATTTATTTGCATGTTGAAAATCTCTTTTGTTTTATACCAACCAAAAAGAGGTATATAATTTTACAGCCAAAAATTTTAAAAACTCCATTTTATTGAGCTTAGTTCAACTGTTTCACATTGTGGGGGTCATCTTTTCTAACGTTGGTGCTGAATGAAATTCTAATTTTTTTTTTATAATTCTTTTTGCCTTTTTGGCAACCAGTAAGAGGTTTGTGGTTTTTTTTTGTAGTTTGAGACTTTAAATTTTATTTTGATCTTTTCTCATGTTGCTTTGGATAAAGAGAAGATCAAAGGAAAGAATCAAGCTAGATGGGGAACAAGGTCATTACCAAGGTTTAGGTAGTCAANTAAAGAGAAGATCAAAGGAAAGAATCAAGCTAGATGGGGAACAAGGTCATTACCAAGGTTTAGGTAGTCAAGTTTTTTTCCTTCTGATGTTATTGCAGAAAGAATTCTAAGGTGGCATGTTGGGTTATCATATTTTTCATTCATTTTATGATGGCTCTTAAATTTTTATTTGATTTGGTCTAGCATTATGTTACTAAATTTTCAATAGTGAATGTTGTGATAATCTAGAGTCTTGACTGGGTTAGATAATTTGGCATTTGATTATTTGTTTCTTGCAGCATCTATAAGATAGACTTGCATGTTATTCCTTCTTCTTCTTCTTCCAAGAATCATACTGATCAGGTATATCCAGTGAAACAAACCTAAACTATTTGGTTTGTTTGAAAAATCAGCATATTTGTTTAGTTGAGACACTATACTAGCGTTCACATCAATCTAGTCCTAAAATGCATAATTTAAAATGTGAACTTTTACAGGAATCACTTATAGGTTTAGTGTTTCTCCGAATGTCAATTCTTAGAGTTCATTTTGTTGTCAAGTATTCAGAAACTTGAGAATTATCTCATGNTTACAGGAATCACTTATAGGTTTAGTGTTTCTCCGAATGTCAATTCTTAGAGTTCATTTTGTTGTCAAGTATTCAGAAACTTGAGAATTATCTCATGGAATTGAAAATATTTTGTGCCTCTGATTCTTAATTGCTACACATTATTCAGACAGGAAAATTATTTTTGGTATCCACTAAAATAGCATGTAGTTTAGTGTTTCTTGGTGTTGAATTGGGTCTTCCCTGGTTAAAAGCCTTATTTTTCTTTTTTTATCCCATAAGACAAAAAATTGTAAATAAAGGTTAACTAGTGGAGTCAAAAAGTGAACTAGCATTGAAATGGATAATTTGAGATGGTTGGAAGGAGAAAATGAAAATAGTGTTAGGTATGTGCATGAAGCTCTTGACATTGTTCTCAATTTACCTGAATAATCCAAATTGTGAATAGATAGATATATAGGTGGTTTGGTATTTGTTGTTTTAGGATATGTGATCAATTTGGAGACAAAAGATGAACTTAAGCTCTTGTGGTAGTTAGTGCATAGAATTAAATGAGATTTAGTACAATNCAAAAGATGAACTTAAGCTCTTGTGGTAGTTAGTGCATAGAATTAAATGAGATTTAGTACAATCAAGAACAATTGGTCATGATATTCTATTAACTAAAGAAAATGTATAGTTTAAGTGAGAATTTTGAATAGATTTCGAACTCTTGTTCTCTGTTTTTTGCTAACAAAGATAACTTTGATCTGTGCACCTTGTTTCTAAGTATCTGTTGCATTTTATTATTTACTTACATCTTATTACAATTCAATTCTTCTGGTTATTTATTTGGTAGCAATTAGAGTATCACTTTTATTGTGTAATTTTATTATTCACTTAACATATATTGTATAACAAATCATACTCAACAACCTTTGATACCAAGGTAGCTATGGTATTGGTTCTTTCTTGAGTTCCATGTCTTTTTTTGATTGTGAGGAAGCAATTGATGAGAGATTTCAAGAAACTGGAAGGCAGTACTGGACCGCCCTTTGACAATAATATTATGCTTTGAAATTCTATCATTTTGTTAACAGAGTTTTGTATGTCGACATTTATTTTGAGTTCTTGAGATGACATCTACTGCTCTAAAATTTGAGTGTTCATATTGAAAGAGAATGTGGAGTGATTCATTATTTCGAGTCTCATTGTTATATGTTGATTGTATACTTAACCTACACAAGAGGTCCAATGTCTTTTTATTTGTTTTTTCTTTGTCATGAACAATATATGGGTTTAGTACCCTTCTTTAAATTTTCCTTTTTAATTTCTCACCATTGGGGTGTAAGGAACAATAATGTTTACCTTCACTTTTAAAAATTTCTTATTCAACATGTTGGTTTTGTTGTCAAATATTGTACTTCTTTTCCACAAGTAAAATGTAGTGGTAAATAGTTTAGGATTCTCAGTTTCTAGATTAAGTGTGGGATAAATAATCAATTGTAGGCTTTCTCACATGAGTAAGTTTGGAAAAATGACCAATATGCAAAATTTTCACATCCAAATTCTATAAAGTTTTTGTCATTTTGACCCACAAAGAACTAACAACTAATTAAGTTTATTGTTTCATGTAATCAAAAAGTGTGACTCATATGTACTAGAAAAAATAAAAAAATAAGTGTGACTCATAGTATCCATAATATTAAAGAGTTGACACACCCAACCATATAAGATAGACAGTTGTAGCTTTTTTACTCTTGTTTTTTTTCCAGATGAGAGATATTATTGATTGTCAAATAATGAAACCAAGTGTTTGGCATTCATATAAACACATGATCTTAAATAATGTTGTGGAAGATGGAGGAAGTTCATCTGCTTCGAGTGAGTGAAATTTGAACAAATTTAGTTTAATAAGGACATGAAATGAATGTTCTACCAAAAAAAAAAAAAAAAGAGGCATATTTGGAGAAATTTTTCATTGGAGAACGAAATAAAAATAATGATCATTCTCGATAGATTTTATCATATCGATGTCACTAAAAATTGGCAAAATAAAAAATCTAAAAATTATCAACCTCAAGTTGTGATACACTTATCTTGTTTGATAATAAGATGCATAACATTCCAGCAAATTCTTTAAGGATGATTTAATTGTTCCTATGTTAGATGACAAATACGTAGCTAAAATCAACACAAGTATGTCATAATAAAACTCCAAGACCATGGAGAATAATTTGAATATGAAGATAAGAAATAAATTTTGCTGAAAATATTTCATGACCAAGAGTAAAGAGTTAGAACAGATTAAAGGAAAAAAGATAAATTGTGGAACTCTACACAATCATAAATAATTGAGTTAAAATTTGGTTTCCACCTCATGAATTTTTGTAAAACTATATAATCCTCCACCTCCATTTCATTGTGCTATGTGATAATCTAGGCACACTTTTTTTTAATCATTTTTCATATAAAAATATATGATAGTCCTGTGGTTCACGTGATAATAATGATGTACGTATCCTTCATTATTTGTTAGATTTCTCTTTACAATGGTGTACACTTTTTTTAAAATTTTGCAAATAGCTTCAAATAAGNACTCTACACAATCATAAATAATTGAGTTAAAATTTGGTTTCCACCTCATGAATTTTTCTAAAACTATATAATCCTCCACCTCCATTTCATTGTGCTATGTGATAATCTAGGCACACTTTTTTTAATCATTTTTCATATAAAAATATATGATAGTCCTGTGGTTCACGTAACAATAATGATGTACGTACCCTTCATTATTTGTTAGATTTCTCTTTACAATGGTGTACACTTTTTTTAAAATTTTGCAAATAGCTTCAAATAAATGATGTTGTTCAATTTACCAATTTATTTAGAAATAATATATTTAATTCTCTTGTATCACTTAATCTTTTCAAATTCTTGTCGAGCCTTTTAAATATGAACATTAAAAAATACATCTAAAAAATATGTCAAACAAATAATTCTAGAAACTTGAATAAAAGCTGAAATTATAATTCCGAATTATACACGTGCATGCAACGCACGTGTGCATCAACAAATATTTATATACTAATATTATATAAAAATATAAAACTCATAATAGAAGTAATTAATTGATGTCTTTAATGGATTCACGCCTTTTTTTTCCTCCTTCCTTCTCTCTCGTTATTATTATTATATGTATGTGTATATATGTATATATAAACGAAAGGTTTGATCCGGGTAGAATAGTTGACTTATCCAACAATATTATCACATTTAAAGCACATGTAAAATAGTTCTAATAGATTTCTCTATGACAAAACTTTTATTATAGGCACATTAGTCTTTTTTAATTCACCGGCAAACGTATCTGCATGACCAAGAGAATGTTAGTTTTCAAATAATTGCTAATCTAAACGCGAGGATTCGAACCCTCGACTTGTGGAGAACCGTTATGATACAAGGTACGTCCTACTACCATTTCAGAAATGTCCTCAACGAGGAGAGAAGGTCACGCACGCTTTTTCTCCAACATGAAAGCAGCACCAGCACCATTTCCATAAACCCCCGAAAACCCAGTTCAGTATTTGCTCGCCCCTCCCCCCCCCCCGCCCGGGTCTCTCTTTCTCTCCATGGGAATGGATTTTCAGGTGGTGGTATTGGCAGGCGGCACTTCAAAGAAGCTGCTCCCTCTCGTCTCCAAGGTTCCTCTATCCCACCTTTTTTTCTGTCTTTAATTAATCAATCAATCATGTAAATAAACTATTTTCTTCTCGAAATTGTGTTTATGTCTGTGTTTCTGAGTGTGTGTGTAGGGTTCAAAAATCTGGTAATATTTGGGTATTAATTAGTGAAAACAACGCAGGAGGTTCCTCAATCCTGCATGTCTCCTTTTATCTCTGACCAATCATTATATAAAATCAACTACTTTCTTCCCAAAATTTGTGGTTTTTTGTGTTTGTGGGTATAAATATCTGTTTGTATATTTGGGTATTTATTTGTGAAAACAACGCAGGAGGTGCCGAAAGCGCTACTTCCTGTGGCGAACCGACCAGTTCTGTCTTATGTACTGGAGCTTTTGGAACAAAGTAATCTCAAGGATCTCATTGTCGTAAGTTTCTTTCTGTCTGTTGATCCTAATTTCTCATTATTTCTTTGGACTCGGACATTTTTCGTTACTGAATTCTAGATCACACACTATCAATCTGATTCTTGTATTTAATTGGGTTCAGTGTCAATACACGTTGAATTGAGAGAATCTGCCAGTAGACAGGATCTTAGTCCATTTTTATGCCTTGCTTGAATGCTAGCTAGTGAAAATTTGGTTTCTATGGAAATTAGGGTTGTTGATTTATTTGGTGTGGTTGTTTGTTTAGGTAGTTGAAGGGGAATATGCAGCTCTTCTTGTTGGGGGTTGGATTTCAAGCACTTATGTTGATCGCCTACATGTTGAGGTAACTGCAGAATCATCTCGAATCTCCATAATTGGGTTCTATTTAGAATGAAATGAAAAGCGTCACTACTTATAATTTTGGAGGATGGCAAATAGAATAGTGATTATTTAACCTTTTAGCTCTTTTGCCACTAATTTGTGGAATAGGCGTGATTTAGTTGTGGATGTATGGCACTTTTTGACACATGTTAACACAACTCGAGTCTGACATGAAGTTAGCTCTTAGCAGCTTTGGGTGGGGGCTAATTGAATTTGATGGATCTAAGGGGATGGCCATGGGTGATTGCTGCACCTCCTCAGAAATATATAAAAAAATCCCTCGTGTTAACTAGGATTAAAATTAGCAATAATTTGCCTTGAATTGCAAAGGTTGCTGTCCTCTCATAATTCTCTAGATACGTCCCAGTCTCCCAGATAGGATCCTAAATGGGTTGACACAAATAATTTGTTTGTTGAACTTTTTTGTTCGGTTTTTTAACATATGTTTGACACATTTATGATGTGAACATGAATATGACACGTGAGACCCTGAATGTGAAACTGAATCATCTCAACATCACTAGTTGTTCTTTCTTTTATCTGTTAAGTATCTTTAAAGCATTTACGTTGTAACCATCTGCTGTGGGTGTCTTACTACTTGCCGTCTCTGTAGTGATTTTCTTTACAGTGTCCATGCATTTCTGTATCTGATCAGGACCCATGAACTAATTATTTTGTATCCACACCAGTAATGTGTGGGAGTAAAATCTAAACTGCCAACTTCTATTCCACAATTATTGTGGAGCATTATCCTTTTGGGTGTGCTGGCAGATCAAATTGTTTAAATTAACAAAAATGAATACCAGAACTGAGAATTATTGTACTGTAAATTAGTCTCATTTTAGCAGTTGTTAATTTAATTAGTAAGAATCGTTTGAGATATTGAGAAAATATTGTCGTAAATGCTTGATGTTTTGGTATTTGGATAATATGGATGAGTAGCTTTGTTAGCATGGAACATCTTGTAGGCTTGTGTTTAATACCCTTATTTCAGTAATCTTAAATAAATGGAACCAAATTTTTTTCTCTAGGAATTTTTTTGGTTTAATTGAAAAGTAGATCTAGGAAGTTGAACTCTTTTGTTTTAAATTTCTTATTAGTATGCTAGTGAAATTGCTTGAGAGGACACCCGATCCTTTCTTGTGAGTAGCACCATAAAAGCTTTTTTTTCTTTGTAAGTTCTTTTCTTATGGTAAGTTATGCAGATTCAATCCTATTAAGTTGACTTTGATTTATTTTACTTTTATGTATTGAGAAGCCATTTCTTAGAGGTAGCAACACATGCCTTATAACTCTAATGACATTGCTTGCATATTTACTTAGAGAGGAGCTATATCCACTCCTTCAGTTGCTTATCTGTGCCATGTTTTTGTTTGTGCAAACCCTTGTTACACATCATATATAAAAGATTGGTGTGCATTAAGACCACCTTTTTTATGCAGGTAGCTGCAGTCCCTGAGGATGTTGGGACCACCGGTGCTCTTCGGGCCATTGCACACCACCTGACTGCAAATGACATCTTGGTTGGAATTCTCATCTGTTGTCACATTTCAGTTTGGAAAAATTGGTCCTCTAGGGTATCTAATGTTCTGTGGTACTGCAGGTTGTGAGTGGTGATCTCATTTGTGATGTTCCCCCTGGGGCAGTGGCAGCTGCTCATAGACGACATGACGCAGTAGTAACTGCAATGCTTTGCTCTGCTCCTATCAGTGGGCCATCGGAGTCAGGTTCCTCTAGTGGAAAAGACAAAGCTAAGAAACCAGGACGCCACAATGTTATAGGACTGGACCCCACAAAACAGTTTCTGTTGCATATAGCAGCTGGTTAGATCTTTGTGGATATGTACGTGTCTGGGATCTGATTTGAAAAGATAACTTACTGTATTTTGTGTGACTCGGGACAGGAGCTGAAGTTGAGAAAGATATTAGAATTCAGAAGAGCATCCTGCGAGCAGTAGGTGAGGTAAACGATTGCCTCAACCAGCCTACCTCCTTACTTATCTGAAAAGCTTCTCTTCTATGGGCGACCAATGTTCACAAAGACAATATTCTTCATTTCTTGGTTTTTGTTAGTATTGTTGTTATTATTATTATGGCAAACTTCATTTTATGCCCATTGTGGTTAGATTTTAGAACCCTCTGCACATTAACACCTCATCTTTAAAAATAACCGCCTAAACCCCATGGGTTTTGTGGACTAAAGTCCACAGCTGACTCCGTCAGTTGGCAGTAGCACTAATAAGATGATTTCACACCCCTTTTTCTCTCTTTATCCTTATTCTCACCTTCTTCTTCTCGAAACAACATGCACAAACACCAACACAAGTTGCCACACTAGAGCCACCACCCAAGACCACTATCAAAACTCAAAAATTCAAACAATAAAAGGCTTATAAATAAGAAGTNTCTTTATCCTTATTCTCACCTTCTTCTTCTCGAAACAACATGCACAAACACCAACACTAGAGCCACCACCCAAGACCACTATCAAAACTCCAAAATTCAAACAATAAAAGGCTTATAAATAAGAAGCACAATTATGCCATTGAAATCTGGAATCAACATTAAAACATAACATTGAAAGCCAAATCGAATAAGAGAACCTGTTCAACAAGGTGGATGCCCTCCCATTGACCCCACCACTGTTGAACCCACCACCCAATCACATTCAATGACTGTACCCACCCACCCACCGCATCTCATGGAGAGAAACCACCATCACAGTCGTGATTGCCGCCACTTCTGCCGAAAAATCAAATCAAAATCTCAATTGAAATTCAGATATAAAATTTTTATTCAACTTCAATCAATATCAAATCAAATTGAGCTCAAATTTGATGCAATAGAATCAATATATGTATTCAACTAAATTGAAGCGGACTCAAGTTCAAATAAAAATATCGAATCACAATCTCATTTGTTGTAAAATCAATATTCAACCTATGGATAGAATTAAAGTTGAACTGCAATATCTTGTTCAACTTGAAATTGGAGCTGCCACGACCCATAGGTGGACACATTTTCCACCATGGAATCTCGTAGCCCTCGATCTCATCTACTTGAAGTCTTAGAGAGATGGATACATCTAAGCGGAGCATGCCATTGACATTGGTTCTAAGTTGAGGAGCTTGATAGTTTGGATGATGTCAATCTTGCATAGTGGAAGGAGGCCTGGGGGTTGGGGTGGCCAGCACTGGCAATATGATTCCAATGGAATAAGCGGAGCTGGTTGATATATCAAGAAATGCCTTCCAAATTCTTTGATGGGGGTTCTGGGAGCTGGTTAGATGCTGGAGGGCCTTTGCCGTTGTTGTAGCAAATGATAGCCATTGATAGCATCGGTTTCTTATGGATCCGGTTGGAAGCCACAAAGTTGTAGTCCTTGGGCTTATGGTTGGCGGTGATGAGAGACAGTGAGGGGGGAAGAAGAATGAGTCAATATGAGGTAGAAGGATGAATTATTAGTGGTCGGATTGGGTCATTCACATTTTTTGTATTTTCAAAAACTTACAAGGGCTTTATTATCTCTAGATAATGATCTTATTCATGCCAACTCTCAACATAGACGCAAGTCTTAATCAACAAACCACATGATGGCGTTGCTATTTTTGAACTTAAGGGGTGTTGTGCAGAAGGGTCTAACCTCAAGGGGATAAAATGAAATTTGCCCTTATTATTGTAAGTGCTATAACTGAGTTGAGATTCCATCTCTTGATATTTTTTTCCTTTATCATTGACGTAATTTTCGTTCATTGGCTGATCTTCACGGGGCCAAACTATTTAGAAGTAGGGGGGCTGTTTGCTGGTGGGTTACTTGGTGGCTTATTGTTGTGTTACCAAGTTTCCATGTACCTTTAAACACCAGAAAGAAAACCAGAGAAATTGACTTAGTCATTGTCATTGGCTCATTGCCTTCTTCTGTCACATCCCCAAATTCCATGCCGCAATAGCTACTGCTTCTTGTAAAACCTTTCTCTCTGCCCTTTCTTCCTACCTGCTGACTGATATTTTCAGTCATTGTTTGATTTGGCTTGCAGAAGCATATATATTTTTCTGATAATGTGGGTGAAATTGCTAGTCATAAGTGTTTTAAATAATGATCAGCAAAATGATAGTTCTAAGTTAACTCAGAATCTCTCTTTTTTGTCCTTTTCTGCAGATGGAAATTCGTGCCGATCTGATGGATGCTCATTTTTATGCTTTTAAGAGGTTTGAGGTTTCAAGTGGTTTTCATTTCTTCCATTTTAAACTGAGTGTGATCCAAATATTTCCTTATATTTCACTTGGTTTTCTTACAGGTCTGTTCTGCAGGAAGTGCTTAATCAAAAGGAAACTTTTCAAAGCTTAAAGCAGGATGTATTGCCTTATCTAGTCAGAAGTCAGCTGGTTGGTTTGTAGGACAGCTGCATGATCTGTGCTTAATATGACTTGGGTTGCTTTATAGATTAATGAACTATTCATATTGTTTTATAATCCATCAGCGGTCTGAGTTGTTGTTGAATGGAGCACAAGCAGAAGAAAATGGGAATGAGAAGGATGCTTCCCAGAACAATAAAATTAAGCTGTCTCAACTTCTGTCTAATGCATCTACTCCAAGTTTTCATGAGCGCTACGCATTGGGTCTCAAGGGGTCTGCTTCTGTTTCAAGAAAAACCCATAAATGCTGTGTGTATATTGCCAGCAAGAGCAAGTATTGTGCACGTTTGAATTCCATTCAAGCTTTCAGCGACATTAATCGAGATGTGAGTTGTTACAGTGGAGGCCCTTCGAGACTGCTTGTATATTTCTTTTAAGTTAGTTCTTTTTACATGTGTTTGCTGATGTAAAGCTAATTATCATCCTTAATTGTGTCAGGTCACGGGAGACGCAAGTCACCTATCAGGGTATTCCTTCTCTGCACAGAACAATATAATTCATCCTTCAGCTGTGCTTGGATCAAAAACTACAGTGAGTTGCAACTCTTTTGTTATGCCATTTTTCTTACAAAAGCATAAAAAACTTTTGAGAACAATGTCTACTGGTTTTGAACTTTAACGGTACCTCTGAATTGTTTAAATGAATAATTGCAGCAGGTTTAGGTTATTTCATATATGGTTTCATCATGTCCATTGTTGTTTAAGATGCTTGATTGATTTAGGTGGGGCCACAATGCATGCTGGGGGAAGGTTCACAAATGGGTGACAAATGCAGCGTAAAAAGATCGGTTATTGGCCGACATTGCCGGATTGGTTCCAATGTAAAGGTATAATGAGATTTCCATCATTCATAGCTAATAGGTTATCATGAAGATATCCTGCCAGGAAATTAAAAATGGAATAGTTAAAAGAAAAACAGATTATAATAAGGCTCAATCAAATATTTTTTTAGTCAGAATTGATGCTCGTACGATGTTACAGCTACTCGACTAAAATACATCTTGATATTTTACAGTCTTATTGTATGACCAGATACTGTAGTAATGACCATCGGAGATTTTTATACTGTCAATTTCCAGGTTGTCAATTCCGTTGTTATGAACCATGTTACTATTGGAGATGGTTGTTCCATCCAAGGTTCTGTTATTTGCAGTAATGTACAACTCCAAGAGCGTGTTGTACTCAGGGACTGTCAGGTACTCCTCTGTGTTTGTGTGCGCGCGTGTTTACTGGTGGTGTTTCTCATTGTTAACTTTGCATTTTGAATTCAGGTTGGAGCAAGTTTTGTGGTCACTAGCGGCAGTGAGTATAAGGGGGAATCCCTGGCGAGGAAAGAGAAACAATGAAATTTTTTGGTTAGGATGTAGTTTTCTTGTTAGCTTTGATGAGTGAATTTGTTGCTCATAGGAGATTGTGCTTAGCCACTGTACTATAATTTCTGCAATGTTGAGAGGGAGAGGGAGGGAGATTAAAATCAATTTTGTCGGTTTTCTTCATCCAGTTTGAATTGTTTTATTGTACAATCCTCAACCTGATAAATGACATTAGCAATGGAATTCATGTGGTCTGATAAATTTTAGTTCCAAGGACAGAGTATATGTATGTTTAACTCTGGCTGAAGCTAAGTGGACATGCATGAGCTATAAATTTAGACATCTTGAGTTTAAAAGTTAATAACTGCATTGGGATTAGGCTATCAGAGATTTATCATTTATTAATTCTCTAGTCTTGGCATGAATGGTCTGTTCTTAAGTGGATCGGAGAGAAAATTTGTTAAGATGCGTGTAACTTATAAGTTGGTTTGGACACTCCGACTATAATATCAAAAAAAGAAAGCAATATATGATTATCAGAATTTTGCTGGCAGGGAAGCTTTGCTAGTTTGCGTTGGGGTGCCCGTTAACGCATTAATCCTAATGTGTGAGTCTGCACTTAATTGCGTCGGCTGAAAGCTTCTTTGCTGGATCTGGATCAGTGGTTGTGTTGAGTTTTTGAACAAATTATTTTCTTTTTTATTCTTTATTATGCTTGTACAATGAATGAATTTCAACCTATTTCTCAATCTATCCGTAGTTATAAGAAACAGTTGGTATTCGCTAGAAGGGTATGATACCACAGAGTATTTCCTAAAAGGGGAAAACGATGTATTTCTATGTTGAATCAGTCCACACAAAGGAATTTGTTTTTCCAGAATATGAGGAGACCAAGTTTTCAGCTAAGAAGATAAGATTCTAGGAATTTGAATTCAGTCTAATTATTGCACATTTGTTGAATCTCTCCTATAAATAAGAAGGCTGGTGCATTGAATCAATTAATAAAAAAATATTATTTCTAAACCTCTATCTAAAATTTTATATGATATCAGAGCTTCTGNTTTCCAGAATATGAGGAGACCAAGTTTTCAGCTAAGAAGATAAGATTCTAGGAATTTTAATTCAGTCTAATTATTGCACATTTGTTGAATCTCTCCTATAAATAAGAAGGCTGGTGCATTGAATCAATTAAGAAAAAAAATATTATTTCTAAACCTCTATCTAAAATCTTATATGATATCAGAGCTTCTATGACATATGTCCTAAAATTTGTCTTCTCTAGTCTCCACCATATCTGAAACCATGACCTCCCAACTACCCACCTTCAACCCCAATTTCACCAAACTTACCCGGATCAATTTTCCAATTTGGAAAGCACCAATGCTTCCTTGGCCAAAATGTTTTTGGCAATATTGATGGCAATCTAAAAATGCCCCTATAGAGATTCCGTCTTCAGATGACTCTAATATCAAAGTTCTCAATCCCGGCTATGNTGTTTTTGGCAATATTGATGGCAATCTAAAAATGCCCCTATAGAGATTCCGTCTTCAGATGACTCTAATATCAAAGTTCTCAATCCAATCTGGGACAGACAGGATAATCTCATATTTGAGTGCTATTAACCTTCTTTGACAGATGAAGTTCTTGCACAGGTCTACTATTGCACCTCCTCTACGACATTTGGTTCGCACTAAAGAAGTGCCTTGTTGCTCAGTCTCATGCGCGAGTTGTCCAGATTCGATCTCAACTCGCAACTGCACGCAAAGGTAGTCAATCTGCCACAAAGTATTTCACGGGCATCAAGAAGCTAACTGATGAGTTAGCTATGGCAGGACAAGCCCTGCACAATAATGACATCCTCACCTGTGTTCTTGCTGGAATTGGGCAAGAATATGACTCACTGGTGGCTATACTTTCTGTTGGCAAAGATGTCACCTTGCAGGTACTGTTACTCGAGCTGAACCATCACTGCCAACCAATCTCTCTGAACCTTATACTCATCTAGATGCCCATAGGTCTAATGATGTGCAAGTTCCTGTTAGGGATGCCGATTTGAATTCCATTGCTCCTATGGCGATCAACCCGCCTTCATCTTCTAGTGCGTCTATTACAGGCCCATCTTGACATCAAATGGTTACCAGATCCAAAACACACTCCCTTAGGCCCAAAACAGCTTTTGATGGTACGGTAAAGTACCTTTTACCAAAGGTTTTCNTCTATTACAGGCCCATCTTGACATCAAATGGTTACCAGATCCAAAACACACTCCCTTCGGCCCAAAACAGCATTCGATGGTACGGTAAAGTACCTTTTACCAAAGGTTTTCATTGCTGCCTCAATTTCTTCTCTTGTAGAGCCTTCGAGTTACATAGAAGCTATGAAGAGTCCACAATGGCGTGATGCCATAAACAAAGAATTTGATGCTCTACTTTGCAATGGAACTTGGTCATTGGTTTCGCCTCGAGACAACATCAATTTGGTTGGGAACAAATGGGTCTTTCGGATCAAACGCCATGCAGATGGGCGTGTTGAATGCTTCAAGGCCCAATTGGTGGCTAAGGGCTACCACCAACAGAGAGGGATTGATTTCTATGAGACTTTTTTNAGAATTTGATGCTCTACTTTGCAATGGAACTTGGTCATTGGTTTCGCCTCGAGACAACATCAATTTGGTTGGGAACAAATGGGTCTTTCGGATCAAACGCCATGCAGATGGGCGTGTTGAATGCGTCAAGGCCCAATTGGTGGCTAAGGGCTACCACCAACAGAGAGGGATTGATTTCTATGAGACTTTTTTTCTAGTGATAAAACCTGCCACAATACGTTTGGTTCTTTCCATAGCAACTAGATGTAAATGGTCACTACGCCAAATCGACATTCAAAATGTGTTCCTTCACGGAGTTCTTGAAGAAGAATTTTTTATGTGCCAACCTCAAGGTTTTATTCATCCTGATTATCCAAACAATTTATGCCACCTTCATAAAAGCTTATATGGTCTCTGCCAAGCGCCTCGAGCTTGGTTTTCTAAGCTTACAGATAAACTTATTTCATTTGGTTTTAAAGGTTCAAAGGATGATAACTCTCTGTATGTCTTGCATAATCATAAAGTTATTGTCTACTTTCTCATTTACGCAGACGACATTATTATCACTGGCTCTGATACTATGTTCATTGACCGAATTCTTAAGAATTTAAGTAAGCATTTTCCAGTCAAAGATCTCGACAAACTGAACTATTTTCTTGGAGTTGAAGCATTGGTGGTCCCTCACGGCCTCTTTCTAACTCAACAGAAATATATTGCTAACCTATAGAAGAAAACAGGTCTTGATCAAGCCAAACCCTGCCTTACCCCGATGGCCACATCTTGTGATCTTTTAGCCTATGAAGGCACAGATTTTGAAGACCCTTTGCTTTATCGCAGCACCGTTGGAGCAATTACAATACTTATCTTTCACACAGCCTGATATAGCCTATGTCGTGCATCGGGTCAACAAGTTCATGCATGTGCCCAAGGATCCCCACTGGCAAGCTGTAAAACGCATTCTAAGTTATCTCAAGAATTCAATTTCTCATGGTTTACATATTTCAGCTCATTCCTCAAATGATCTCCAAAGTTTTTCACATGAGGATTGGGCCTGTGCGTGCAGGATCTTGCACAATATAAACACGAGAACAGATCTCTCCCATGNCCAAAGTTTTTCACATGAGGATTGGGCCTGTGCGTGCAGGATCTTGCACAATATAAACACGAGAACAGATCTCTCCCATGATGAACACGAGTCAGTCAATCGAATGGTCAAACCTTGCTAGGCGGAATAGACTGTGAGGACCGGTGGTAGCCTGGAACGGTACTGAGTGACTTTTGTGGGTCACCAGGGTGGTCCTGTAAGGCTAGGGAAGATTCCTGGAACAGAGAAAAACGAATTAGGAGGGCGCCGGGGTGTTTTTTGGCGTATCTCCTCCGACGATCAAGTCAGTTCTTTGAGAGAGAGAAAGAAGAAAACACTGTGTATAGGTTTGAAAAAAAGGTTTTTTGTGTACCTCGTCATGCGTTTTGTGAAGAGTATTTATACCTTAAAAACTCATGATTGCTGTCAGTATAATCAGTAGGTGATCATTAGAGGCAGATAACGTGCACACTGATTTTTAGGAAAAATGACCTCTTCCTTAACTGCTCGGGACCCCGAACAACCAATGCATCACCCCCGGTCTGTTGAGTTTTTAATGACCTTCACTCGGCTGGGATATATTAAATGTTTTGTCACATGATCATTCATTGTCTTTCATTTCTGGGTCTTCACGCATTAAATGTTGTCTCATCAAGGGAAAGGTACATTAAATACTTGTTTTCCCAAGTCGTGTGTCAGCAAGGGCATTCTGGTCTTTTTGCCTCTAATCTGACACAGTACGCCACGTGTCAGCTCCCTTTTGGTTGAGCCTTCTGCTTTCCTGTGCATCATGACACCATCTAGGTAAGACCAGGTCATGATGGCTAATCTAGTCTAGCCCAGGCTGATGATCTGTCTATCAATAGCCCTGCAAGAACAGGAACGTCGATGTAGTGGGTACACATCGGTGCCGAGGGCCTAGTACGGTTAGGGCCGATGTACCCATCCATTCAACCGAGGAATACGTGTCGCCCGTGCATACCGGCGTCGTAGATCCTTATGTATAGTACCATCTCGGAGGAAGAGGGATCATAATTCGACGAGCACATGTTGTGATCACGGCAGAGAGAATTTCTTGACACCGAGTACACGTGTCGCTATCTTGAAGTGTCCGAAAAATGTCCCATCAACTGCCCCCAGTCTTCGATCTTCTGACGCCGAGGACACGCGTCGTAAGGAGACGAAGGGTTCTGCAACTACCTCAACCACTTCATCATTGCCTATAGCCGCTTTCCTCCGCTTAGGAGGTTATGCGCATTAAATGTGCCTCTTTGTGCTTCGTGCCCAATGATGGGGATGGGTACTATATAAATGGGTTCTCTCTCTCCCTCTCACACTTCGCCATTTGGAAACTCTTTAGAGAGCCCTCGCCTAAAATCTCGCCGGAGACCCACTTCCTTACGTTGTCTACAAACCAATCTTCACCGGAGTCTTAAGGCCAACAGACCTATTCTTGCTTCTGAACCTCCTGGAGGAAGGAACCACTCCAAGTTTTGAAGAAAACCATCTTTCAAGTTCTGGTGAGTCCTTGTATTTTCCTTCTTTCCGCCCTTCTGTCTCTTCTTCTCTTCTTTCTCTCTTTTTTTTTTTTGTTTTTTGATTCTC